GGACTTTGTGCTTGGGGAGACTGTTTTTTACCATTTCAATTTCCTTGATGGTGATAGGTCTGTTCAGGTATTGCAGGTCTTCTTGGTTCAGCCTTGGGAGTCTATAGGAATCTAGGAATTTATCCATTTTCTCGAGCATAAAGCTTCCGTGGCATAAAGCTTCTCAAAGTACTCCCTGAGGATCCTTTGAATTTCTGTAGTTTCTGTTGTAATGATCCCCTTTTCATTTCCGATTTGGTTTATTAGGGTATTCTTTCTCCCTTTCTTTGTGAGTTTTGCTAGAGGCTTATCGATCTTGTTTATTTTCTTGAAGAACTAGCTCTTGGTTTCATTGATCTTTTGGATTGTGTTTTGGATTTTCATCTTATTAATCTTTGCTCTGAATTTTATTATTTCCTTCCTCCTGTTCAGGTTGAGCTCCTTTTGTTGGTCCTTCTCCAAGCTCTTAAACTGTGAGGTTAGGTTACTTATGTGGGCTCGTTCCTCCTTCCTGAGGAATGCTTGTAGAGCTATAAACTTTCCTCTTAACATAGCTTTTGCTGTGTCCCATAAGTTTTGGTAACTCGTGTCCTTATTTTCATTCGTTTCTAGGAATCTTTTGATTTCCTCTTTGATTTCCTTTCTAAGCCACACGTTGTCAAATAGTGAACTGTTTAATTTCCAGGTGTTTGCTTTAGTTTTCTGTTTTTGTGTGTGATTTACTTCTAATTTCAGCGCATTATGGTCTGAGAAGATTGTTGATACAATCTCTATCTTCTTAATTTTATGGAGGTATGTTTTGTGGCTCAGCATGTGGTCTATCTTGGAGAATGTTTCATGCACGCTTGAGAAGAATGTGTATTCAGCTTTTTGAGGATGAAGTGTCCTGTATATATCTACTAAGTCCCTTTCTTCCATTTTTTCCCTCAGATGAAGTATGTCCTTCCTAAGCTTGAGTCTGGTTGCTCTATCAGAGGTGATAAAGTGGTGTTGAAGTCTCCCACTAGTATTGTGTTGCTATCAATGTCTTTCTCCAAGTCTATGAATAGTTGTTTTAAGCACTTTGTTGGTCCCTCATTAGGTGAATATACATTTAGTATTGCAAGTTCTTCCTGTTGTACAGATCCCTTAATCAATAAGAAATGGCCTTCACTAGCTCTTGTAACCTTCTTCACTCTGAAATCTATGTGGTCTGATACTAGGATGGCTACCCTAGCTTTTCTATGGGAACTGTTTGCCTGTAGAATTGTTTTCCAGCCTTTAACTCTGAGCCTGTGTTTGCTTTCACTATTGAGATTTGTATCTTGCAGGCAGCAGAATGTTGGGTTCAATTTTCTAATCCACCCTGCCACTCTGTGTCTTTTAATTGGTGCATTTAGCCCATTGACGTTGAGAGAGATTATTGTTATGGGGTTTTGTCCCATTTTTCTGTTAAAATTTAGTGTATTTGAGGGGCCTGTCTTGTCTTAAAGTAGCCCATTTAGTTGTTCTTGTAACCATGGTCTTGTGTCTATGAAGTTCCTGAGCTGTTGTTTGTCTGTGAAACTGTGTGTTGTTCCTTCTGTTATGAATTAGAGTCTCGCTGGGTAAAGTATTTTTGGTGAGGCATTTATTTCATTGAGTTTTGTCACTAAATTCCACCACTGTTTTCGTGCCATAAGTTTCATCAGACAAATCAGCTGTGAACCTTAAGGATGCTCATTTGTAGGAAATTTCTTTCTTTGATCTTGCTGCTTTCAGAATTTTGTCTCTATCTAAGGTTTTAGTGATTTTGATCAAGAAGTGTCTTGGGGTATTTTTATTCAGATTTCTTCTAGCTGATACCCTTTGGGCCCCCTGAATGTGGTCACCTGTTTTCTTCAGCTCTGGAAACATTGTAGCAATGATGTTTTTGACAGTTTCTTCTTCATCAGAGTTTTCTTCCTGTCCCTCTGAGACTCCAATAATTCTTATGTTACCCCTCTTGGCTTCATCACGGTCCTCTCTTGCCATCTGTCCCCGAATTGAGAGTCTCTTTTACATTTTCTGCTCTTTTCTGGAGAGTCTCTGGACTTCATCTTCGAGTTCACTGATTCTGTCCTCAGCAGCTGTTACTCTGATGCTGAGACCTTCCACTGAGTTTTACAATCGCCTACCAGGTTTTTCAGGTCTGACATTTCTGTTTGCATTTTCCTCATTTCTACCTTCAAATTCTCTTGACTTTTATTGGCATTGCTTTCCATTGCTCCCTAAGCATCCTCCGTAGCTCCCTTCTAAATTCCTTGTCAGAGAGGTTGTCTAGCACTTCATTACTGTTGGTATCTACTGGGCTAGCTTCTTCAATAAGTAAGCTTGGTGGGCTTTTGCATTGGTTTACTGTTGTGACCAGTGTGGTTTAGACTTTCACACTCACTGTTACTATTCTGCTTGAGATGCAGAATGAATTGAGATGGGCTTAATGAATTATTGGTTAATGTGTTTCTGGTGGTTAAGCTAACCTAGTGAAAGTTCCATCTAAGAGGGTAACTTATGGTTCCTATGGGCTATGTAGTGGGAGAATAACTAGTGGCCGTGGCTCCGGGAAGGGGCCCTGGCACCGGGAGGGTACCTGGTTGAATGAGGAGAGAGTGCCCAGAGCGGTTCAGCTTTGTTTCCGTGTGGTGTGCCTCAATTGTGGTGTCCCGTCCCCTGCAGACCAAGGGTGAATACCGGCCTTCTCAGGGGATCTATCTAGTTAGCCGCACTGGCCCTGGTGCTGGGCGGGCACCTGGTTGAATGAGGCAGGCAACAGGGTTTTGTCCACACTTTTGTCCTTTACTATTTCCCACCTCCACCCATTCCATTATCTATTTTGACAGAAAAATCTCACATTTTTTTTCCCTGTAAGATTTAAAACGACCAATTAAATGACTTCCATACCTGGTGCCCCTCCCCTCCAGTTCCACCTTAAAAAGAATGAGGAAATAAGTGAAGAATGAGATAGGAAATAAGTGAAGAATGAGATAAGTGAAGAATGAGATAAGAAATTACTGAAGAGGACAGACTTCCAAACACATGCACAAAATAACAAATAAATAAAACAAATAAAGGGGGAAACATCAAGCTAGTTATATGGGGAAAGAAATTTTCAAGCAAAATAAATAAGGGCAAATGCTGGAACAGGAGTACATAGGGATATCTGGCTATTCTGGCTGAATTTAGACGGTGATCTATCCAAAGCAGATTTAAGATCATGTGGTCTTGATTCAATTTTAAATTAGATGTGATAAAATTAAGCAAGCTTCTGGGTTTCTTCTATCCAAAAAAGAAGAGAGCAGCTAAACTCTCACTGTAGATTAAGAGTATTATAAGTTTGAAGTGTTCAGGTTAGGTCCCATGGCATTTTAAGTGTTTTTAGAAAAATATAGATGTTATTCTAAGCCAAAAAACTCAGTGTCTTGTGACAGAGAAACCTGTCTTTTTAATATTTAAAAATGTATTTCTCCAACTATAAGTAACTAATAATATATTTGATGCTTTCATATTACCATAAGAAAAAAACTATATTAATCACACCAGTCATATGTGAAATGTCCTTAGTTGGAAAGTCAAGGAAAGTTTTAGAAAATGAGCATTTTTCACATCTTAAAAAGTTTTGATTGAATATCAAGACATAAAATAAAATAATTGTTAAGAAGAAAAGCTAGATATACTAAAGAACAATTTCCCCAGAAAGCTAGGAATTTTTCCAAATAATATAAAGAATGATAAAATCCTGTTAAAGAATAACTAGTATTTGAATACAATATATGTATAAATACTAACATATATAATATTTTTAAATACTTATATATAATAGTTTCCTCATTTTATGTATGTGAAATACATAAAATATGAAAGTATAACAAGTATTATGTTTGGTGTAAATTAAATTTTTTACTTATACTTTGTTTTACTTTTTCCTCTTATATAAAGCATAAGGTTTCTGTGCAAAAAATTAGGTTATGCTCCAGGAATAACCAACTAAAACTTGAGTATCTTAAAAGAAATGTAAGAATTGATTTCTGGCATGCTGTGTGTCCACCATAAACTTTTTTTTTATTATGTAGGAGTACTGCTATTTATTCAGCCACTGATTAGCTGATTGAATTGGGCATGAACTCCACCTTAGCTTTTTTTTCCATAATTTTATTTATTTATTTTCTTCTTATATTTATCTATTGAATAACTGTGGGAAAAGTTACAAAGCTTTCAGGTTTTAGTCTCAGTCATACAATGATCAAACACCTTTCCCTTCACCAGTACTCATTTTTCACCACCAAGAACCCCAATATACCCCCCTCCCACTCCTCCCAATGCCTGTGAGGCAGATGATTTCCACTTAACTCTTCTCTACATTGATTACATTCATTATTTCTACAAAAGATGCACCGTTATTGTTCAGAATTCCCTCCTCAACAATCAGAATTGCTGAAAAGGCATTGTGAAATACTCTGTTTTCTATAGTTTGTTATGAGAATCATATAATGATTTCAGATTTCTGCAAAGAGCCAGATAATTATGAGATTGGTTTCTGTGCATCTGGTGTTATGGCTGTGCCGCAGAGCCACTCGTGGGGGGCAACTCGTGACCATACCCCCCACCATAAACTTTTATTAGCACTGCTTGACTCAAGTAACAATAGGAGTGGCCTTTGGACCCCTTGAACATTGCTTGGGAACTCCCCCAAATAAAAATAAAACATTTAATTGGAGTTATCCACTTCAAATGGTTGTAATCTCATGTGTAAGATAACTGTAAGATAAAAACAATATATTAAGATCTTGATTTGGGCCAGAGATATTATATAGTGGGTAGGGCACTTTTCTTGCACACAGCTATCCCTGGTTTAATCCCCAGCATATCTTAAGTCCTCTGGTAGTGATTCTTAACACAGTGTCAAGAATGAACCTTGAACAATGCCAAGTGTCCCCCCCCCACTCTCCCAAAACCATGCAATAACCACCAACAAAAGATTTTGTTAGTACTTTTTATTTATAAGTGGTATTTCTTTTCATCTGTAGGTATTTCATGATGTTGCTTACAAAGCTAAGGATCGTAATGACTTGGTATCAGGAATTGATGAATTTCTGGATCAGGTAACTGTTCTCCCTCCTGGAGAATGGGATCCAAGCATTCGAATAGAGCCTCCCAAAAGTGTTCCTTCCCAGGTATGTATATTTAAAAATATTCCTTAAAGGTTTAAATGTTTCATGTTCTTGCAAATAAACATAAAATATTATGTTTATTTAATAATATAATAGGAAGGAAGGAGAATGAGTTACAAAGTCTTCTTTGATATTATCTGCATTCCTCACTGAGAAACCTGGTGTCTCAATAGTTAAGTAGTAACAACCAAAAAACAAGATGTGACGTGTGAAAAAAATTTAAATCACCCTAGGAGATATTATACTAGGGTAAAAGGAAAATTTTAATAAATATATAGCATAAAACTGATAAAACTACTATTAATCCTATATTCTAAAGCATCACTTTGAAATTGGCAGGGAAAAAAAGGCAGAGGCATACCTCAGTATATTTTATTGAAAACTCCTTCTTTCTGCTAATCACAGTTCCTGTTGAAAAGGAATTTATTATAATTTTCATGTTTGTATTACTTTGTGTAGGTGTATGGTAAAAACTGTAAAAAATTATGCCTACAAAAATAAAATGTGCAGTTTACTTATTATATAATCCAGAAAGAATGAGATAAAGTTTTGCTATATTTGAGGTAATTTGTTTCTCTTCTGCAACCAGAGTACAGGTTTTTCTGTACTTGTTTTCTTTTTTTCTGTTCCATGCTTCCTTAAATATATTCCAATAAGGCTTTTACCTTCGTTTTTCCATTAAAATTATTTATGTACTGTTCACCTATGATCTACATTCCATTAAATCTCAGAGTCAGTTCTCATTCTGCATTATATTTTATTTTGCCTGTCAATCAACAAATTTTACAGAGTTGGTACTTCTCTTTCTCCCTCCTTCCCTCTCTCAGTCCCTTCCTTCCTTCCTTCCTTCCTTCCTTCCTTCCTTCCTTCCTTCCTTCCTTCCTTCCTTCCTTTCTTCCTTCCTTCCATCTCCCTTCCTTTTCCTTCCCTCCTCTTCCCTTTCCCTTTCCCCTTTTCCCTCCTCCTTTTATCTTTCCCTTTTCCTTTCCCATCCCTATTTCCCCATTTCCCTTTCCCTTCATCTCCTCCTCCCTCTCCCTCTTTCCCATCCCTCACCCTCCCCTTCCCTCTCATTCCCTTCCCTCTCCCTTCCTCCCCTTCCTTCTCCTTCTCTTCCCTTCCCTTCCCTTTCTACTTTTTGTCCATAACAGTGATGACCCAGGGCTCATTTATTCCTTGCCTAAGAATTCATTTCTGTCAGTGTTCCAAGGACCATATATGGTACTGAGATGGAACACACCTTCCCTCATCCCTCATCCCTAGTTCTTACTCATATCTTAGGTCCCGACACTACAATACTCTAAAATTTTCCGTATATTTTTCCCTCTCTAGAACACCATAAAATTAATTTACTTATTTATTGTTTGCCTTTCCTAATAGAATCTACGCTTCATAAACCTGATTTATCCACTGGCGTTTTTTAATGGTGGGGCCCCAATTTGCTCTTATTAAGTATTTGCTGACTGAAGTAATTAATTGTATAGTGTGAGGAGTCAAATAAAATCATTGAATTATTTTGGAATCTCAAAATTCTTGTATTTATTCTTGTCTAGATATTTTCCATTAGAGTATTAATAGACAGTGTTCATATATACTTCTGTTTTCAAATGTTCCTTTACCTAAGATAAACACTCCAATAATTTTGTTGAGGATTTTTACATCACTTTTTATCATGAATATTCTGACTTCTTTTTAAAAAAATATGTGGGTCCCATCTGGCTGTGCTCAGGGGTTACTGCTCTTCATTCTTTGCTTAAGGATCACTCCTGGGTATGCTCAGGAGACACAATATGGGATGCTGGGGATTGAACCGAGTCACCGCATGCAAGGCAAATACCCTACCCGCTGTCAGATCTTTGGCCGCTGATTGTGGATCAGGTTGTGTTGACCCCATTAAAAGTGTTTGGAAATAATCCCTCTGAAATTTATTGCAAGCATTGAGAAGAATAAGCATTAGGTCTTTAAAGGTTTTTTGTTGTTGTTTGTTTGTTCATTTGTTTGTATTTTGGGGCTACAGCCAGTGGTTTTCAAGGCTTACTCCTGGTTCTCTGTTCGGGGATCACTCTTGGCAATGCTCAGAGACCAAATGTGTTGGAACCAGGGAATGGAATAGGGTTGACTATGCAAGGCAAGATCTTAACTCCTGTACTATCTCTTCTGCGTTTGCAGGATTTATGGAACTCACTAGGCAATAAATTTCAATTGAACGAATGAATAAATATTCAGCATCTTATTTAGTTTCCTCAACAATTCAGGTACAGATGATTATTACACTAATAAAACCAGGAGGAAACTGAAATTTTAGAAAATCCTTACTCCTGGAATCCCTGTAATCTTGCCGCAAATAAAGAAATAGAGTCAGGATTCTACATATTGCCTCAAGGGGAGAAAAATTGTATTTGCTATTTACAGCTATTATGTGAAATTTCAATTAAAATATAACCCAAAAAACACTTTCTGTAGGAGAAGAGGAAGATTCCTGCTGTACCAAATGGAACAGCAGCTCATGGGGAAGCAGAACCCCACGGGGGACATAGTGGACCTGAACTCCAGCGAACTGGAAGGTTAGTAAAATGTACACGTATGGGGTCTCACAGACAAAATGATGTAACCTTGTGGATCAGCAATTGCTCTTCTGAGCAATATCATTTTGAGTCCTCTTTGGAGAGTGAAATTCCAGTTAAATTAGTTTCTCTACACTCATTAACGATTCTTATTACTACTAAACCAGACAGTGGATATACTATTTCTTTTTTATTTTACCCAGTCTTTCATATTGCTGTGCCTAAAAATGCATTCTCGGGTTCTTAAAATGAATAAGAAAGCTGTCAGTTGCCCTTCCAAAAGAGCCTGTTGAAAGCTTCACATTCACGATGGAAATGAAAATACCAAGTCAGTCTTGCAGATTCTATCTCATTACATGCAAGCAGGATGTATATAATAGTATTTTTTTCTTTTTACCGTTGTAATTTGAAAGAGCTATAAGATTTATTTTTCTAATCACACATCTTTGAAGAGATGAAAGCTTCAATTTATTTCTTAAAATGGTTCTTTATGGTTTTTTGACAGCTTGTCTCTCTCCGAGCAATGTGTGAGCAGAAAATCAGAAACCCTTGGGTTGGTCTCTCTTCAGGGAATAAGTGCACATAGCCTCCATTCTAATTGAAGGCAAGCAAAGGCTTTGCAGGATTGGTGCTCCCCTCCCCACGAGGCCATTTCCTGTACTGCTTTCACTGTGTCCTCTAAGCTGACTTTCTAGTTCCTGACAACTCTGCATTTTAATTCTCTGTTCTTTCCCTTTATCTCTGTTTTTGTCTCCGGGGAAATGTCCTTTAATGTCTTCCTCGGGCTCCATACCTAATTTGAGATGGCTCAAACAATTTTTTTCCTTTTCCCATTACTGGAAGCATTGTTGCTCCTTCTGTTTGTTTTCATATTTTCAAATGCTGTCTTTTTATTTTGGTGGTATTTCTTCTCTCTCTCTCTTTCTCTCAGGTGTAACATGCCACATAGCTTAGATTTTTTTCGAAGTTCACTTTTCCTTACTGCTTCCTAAATCCTCCCAGGTCACCAATATCCGGTATCTTCGCTTCTCCAGAGTTCTTCCACAGATTCTGTTGCTGGCATGACTTGAAGTATCCATTACTCATCTGCTCTCCTGGAATTGCTGGTGTACATCTGGGCTGCTCTTGCACTGTTCTCTGTAATGACCTCCCACTTCTGGATTTAGCTTTTTGCTGCTAAAAGCACGTTTATTGCATAGTAATATAACAACTATTTAGATTAATGTATTCCCTAATAAGTAATTGATTAACAAACAGTGGTCTAATTGAAAGTGCTATTAAGCTTATAAATAATAACTACTAATTAGTTAATAGAGTTCATTAGAATTCAGGATCATCTCAAATTCATTTGGGTTTTAAGTGGTATATAAATCATAAATAAGTCAAAGGCTAATATAACAAATATATTTTGAATTTTGACTTTGATAGCTTGAATCAGTGAGAAACAATCCCCCAAATTAAAAACATAGTGTATATACATACATATTTTTACTGAAAACATATTAGGAGAACCTAAATTGTTCTCTGTTTGTGCAGATATCATAGGCTTTCAAATGTTTCTCTGAATATTCAAATTTTATCATCCTCAACCTCTCCTATTCCATTTGATTCCCTTACAATCAATCATGAGGAAAACATGGTAATAATCTGTCACTCACAAATAGTAAGATAATTCCTAATATAGAACCATTATGTTCAAATAAAATCATTAAAAATAATCGTTAAATTTTACAGCCATGCTAAAGATAAAGATTTTGAATTTAGAATTTAGATTTAGAATTTCCTTCTCAAGTATAATAATCATCATTATTGAGATGATTGTTAGATTGCCATACATATAATAATTCCTATCTAGAAATAAGTGACAAAAATTTGGTAGTTTATTACAATCCAAGTATATTCAATATACTTGCAGTGTATTGGAACGTAGTAATTTTTTTAACCTCCATGTCTAAATCATTTTAAAATGACATTTTTATTTTAGAGAGCACAGAGCTTCTAGTATTCAAGTGATAAGTCTTCCTTATTATTAAATGCTCAAAGAATGAGAATACCAATCTTTTCTTATTTCTTGTAAGTTAAAAGACTCTCAGTACTCAGATTAGGCATTGCACAATTGAATTCTGCCACCCCACCTCCAACCCGCACCAATTCCTCCTTTAAGTATTCCTATATTGGTTTGAATATATTGGAAATAAATTCATTCCAAGGAAGGCTACTGTTATCTTGTGAATGATAGCCATTTTTTGTGTGCAGTAATGGATCAAAAGTGATGCTTATAAAATCCCTTTCTTAATTTCCTAAAAATGTAAACAACTGTGGAGCCAGCAATTATACTAAGATTATTCTCATTCATACAGCTTAGAACAATACTGGGTGAGGGATTTTCTTTGGCAGAGATAGTAGATACTTGAGCTACAGTTAAACATTGCCTTTTTATCTCTAAGGTGTTTTTCACTAGTAAGAGTATCAAAAGCTAGTTTAACCACACTCCCTCACTTTCTGCAACACCAAACATAAACAATTAGAAAAACTATTAATTATTGAGAGCATTAAGCCTGAGTTTAGGAGTGAGTGATGTAAATTTTGAAATGGTACAGACAATTTCATTAAAGTAATCCTTAAATTTCATTTGAATTTTGATTGATAAATGGTCCTGAACCTTGTTTGAGAGAACCTGCTATTTTTTTCTTTTTTCTTTTCTTTTTCTTTTCTTTTCTTTTTTTTTTTTTTTGGCTGTTGTTGACACGTTTGTTTGGGAACTGAGGTGCAATTGAGGAATAGTGTGCAAAGCCGTCCCAATAGGTCATGGTAATCCAACATAGCCTGTTAATATGGGTCTCATCTCTGCTGGTGGAAAACATATACTGTGGCCTGGAAACAAAGCAAATGCACAATTTTGATTTGTGTGTTTTTTATTTGGATTTCACTGTTGTGTTTCTCCCCCCTGTCTTAGGATTTTTGGGGGACTTATTTTAGATATCAAAAGAAAAGCTCCATACTTCTGGAGTGACTTCAGAGATGCTTTCAGCCTGCAGTGCTTAGCATCTTTTTTGTTTCTCTACTGCGCGTGTATGTCTCCTGTCATCACTTTTGGAGGACTACTGGGAGAAGCAACCGAAGGTCGTATAGTATGTATTGCAGTATTCTTTGAGCTTTGAAAGTTAATCCAGTTTTAAGACTCATAGCTAGAGAAGTAGATATTTAACTTCCTATTCCTTTATCAATAGAAATTTATAATATGGTCTGGCAGCTATATTTTACAAGAATTTTCTGGGTAGCTAGTGGAACTGGGAATCTAGGAGTGAACTATTTCATTTAATTCTGACACTTACTCAGACTCTGATGTCATGCATAGTCCCTCGGTGATAGGTTCTGGTTATTATCTCACCAAGGTTCATCCCCCTGTTAATTGGAGCTATATTTCTGTCCAATTATCACGAACAAATTATAAGCTTTCATTGAGGAATGAAATTTGAAGTGGGGGGGGTGTAGGGTCACTACCATACATTTTCTTCTACCTGTCTGCCCCCCCCTTTTTTTAATCCTCCCACTCCACATCCTGCCCCATGATGTTAGGCTTCTTATAGTAAAGGAAAATGTGTATCCATGTGTTTCCTCCCTAGATTAATATTTACATGTGCAGCTTGGATAATGGAACCATTTCTGTCTCTACACAGAGTGCAATTGAGTCTCTCTTTGGAGCTTCCATGACTGGGATAGCATATTCTCTCTTTGGTGGACAGCCTCTTACTATACTGGGTAGTACAGGACCAGTTTTGGTGTTTGAAAAGATTTTGTTTAAATTTTGCAAGTAAGTATTATATTATCTGGGCCTTTATATACTATTTTTGTACTGATTCAAACATCATATCTGGAAATCTGTTGGGAGAGGTAGCATTAACTGATTTAAACCAGTTCACCATTTTTGTGTTTCTATGAAAATAAGGGGAAAAGAAAAGATTTGGTTTGGTTGTTATATAATATTTATTAAAATTGTATTTTCTAAATCCCAAGCACTTTGCTCTAAATGCTGAGAAAACAGCCTTTGTTTTGTATTACTCTTAGTTGCACTCTTTAGACAAAGTTTAAGTGTTTAAACCCTTAGGGATGTCATGGTTATTTACTTTCACTTCCTGAATTAGATTTATTCTATCTTTTGTAAATGGTGGTAATCTGTTGAATGACCTCTCCATATTCTTGCCCCCCTCCTAGAGAATATGGGCTCTCATACCTATCTTTAAGAGCTAGTATTGGACTTTGGACTGCAACCCTCTGCATCATACTTGTGGCCACTGATGCAAGCTCCCTTGTCTGCTATATCACTCGATTTACTGAAGAAGCTTTTGCTTCTCTTATTTGCATCATTTTCATTTATGAGGCCCTAGAGAAGTTGTTTGAACTCAGTGAATCATATCCAATCAACATGCATAATGATTTGGAACTGCTGACACAATATTCGTAAGTATAATTTCCCCTATTGGCTATAGAGCTTTCCTTTTAAAAATATAGCTGGTGTTATAATAAATATGAGGAAATTTCTAATCAGATTAGAGGATATATACATAGAATTATAGAGGATAGAGTACATTAAATTATTTTTGTAACCTAAGTCTTGAACTTTCGAACTTGAACAAAAAAATATTTTTTTTTTACATTTTTATTAGTGAAACATCATGAGGTTCAGTTGTAGACTTACAAGTTTTCATGCTTGGGTTTCAGTTATACAGTGACCGAGTACCCATCACTGCACCAGTGCCCATTCTCCACCACCAATGATCCCAATATCCCTCCCACCCCCCTAACCCCATAAAAGTCTATCACTTCGCTGATACTTGGGTTGTTATTATCTCTTCCAAATATATATATTTGAAATTTCTTAAGTATTCCTGTTGTATACATAATAAATTAAGGTCAAGTTTATTGTACAGATATTTTGATTTCTCAAAATATACATGTGGTTTTGGTCTTTCTTTTGGCCCTTTATAATTTACTATGATCAAAAGAAACATAGTAGGGAAATATAAGAATTTGCATTTAGAGCAATACACTAAAAGAAATTCATAGGATTCTAAGTGTACTAATTTAATGTTTAAAAAGTCAAAATATAGAAACATACATAAAATCAAGTTTGCTATAGAGGTATTTTGACTTTTCAAAATACACATGTGATTTTGTACAATTTTTAGATCTTTTCCAATTTTTTATAATCCAAATGAACATAGTTGTGAAATACAATAATTTATACTTTGGGCAAAGCATTAAAAGAAATTCACAGAGTCCTATTTGTACTAGCTTAACTTTTGAAAATACAAAAACATAAAAAAAACTGAATTGAAATATTATTTTGCTTTAGTACTTACAGTGTTTATCATGGAAATGCTCGGGAATTTCCAGTTGATGCTTATATTACAATGTAAGATTGAAGGTGGGATTAAACCTATTACCTATTACTCTTTATAGTTTAATATACCAAATTAGACATTTCTAAGACTGAATTTCTGGAATATACTTCACAAAGATATACATTATTTCCTTTTGTATTTAATTTTAACATTTTTCCATATTTGTTAACATATTATTATATGTACACAAATTTTTATTTGAGGCGATATGATCTTTCTGAGATAGTTATAATCTCTTTATCTGTCAATGCACTCTTATACATTGTGTAAATAAATAAGATTCTCTTTTGGAGAGTTTTCTTTGTTTAGTGTTAGAAGTTAAAATCATTCAGATTAGTCCAATGTTAAAATTTTTAAAAGAATTATGTAATGGCAATGTTGAAACAACATGGTTTTTATACTTTGACTTTCTTCTTGGTCTCTAGAAATTGCTTTGAACAGTTTTACTTTTCTTTTTGCTGAAGGAGAAGAAACAAGTAAGAAAATGCAGAATAACTTTCCTAATAAAATAAAATATAGAGATTGTTGTTAGTAGTGTTCAGAGGGGAGTGAGGGAAATTTCAAAGGCACTTAGAAGTAGGCAGGTGGGAAAAGCAGTTTGTTCAGGATGATGGCTAATATTAATGCATGCCTTTCATTATGTCTTTAGTTTATCTTTAGTATATCTTTTAGTATATCTTTCTTTATGTCCTCAGGGGAAAAAAAGGCATCATTTAACTTGAATATTGTGTCGGAATAAAGAATTACTTCTTCTTGGAGTTGAAACCTTCTACATCTATGATAAATGATAAATGATAGGATGATCATGAATATTAATCTGTCCTCAGAAAGTTTCTAGTTTTGCAGGGAATGGAGACAGATACACAGTGAAGTAGTGCTTGTGCTAAGCTAGTGGTACAGAATCCTGTGGCACCACAGAAGGAAAGCACCAAACTCAGATTTTGGAATGAGAAAAAACTTCCTAGAGGAAGTGGCATAGAAGACCAAAAAGTCAGGCTTGCTCTTCAAGCCCATGTTCTCCCTTGAACATGTATCTCACTTATCTTTTTATTTCTTTGCTTACTTATTTTTCTTTCACTCTGGAATAGCCTATGTTATTTCTCAACCGTATTTCACTCCCTCTCTGTCCCCTCACATCTTTCTAAATAAGTTTCAATACTATTCAAAAAGTCAGTGGGAGTCAGAAGTTGTGGAAAAATTGTGTAGTAGAACAGTGGTTCAGATGCAGGGAATAGAACAGTCCTGGGTATAAGAAACTTATGAATACTTCGAAATATTTGTCCGAAGTTGTATGGTTAGCAGCAAAATTAGAAGTTGGAATCTGGTTTTATGACTCCGATAAATAGAAATGTTCTTCAAAAGAAACTGTGAAATGAATAAAAGATAAAAGAACATTGTGTTTGCAGAGCAGAGAAGACAAAAGCTGTTCACCTCCGCCTCTCTTCCTTGACACTCAGTAACAATTCGAAGGCCTTTCAAACTGAGAAGCAAGGTTAAAAATCCCTGGTCTAGAAAGAAAAGGATCAGGGAAACCAAGAACAAACCCTGGAGAGTGGTCACAGTCTCTCTTGCTTGCCTGTTTGCTTCCCTCCGTTCCCTCCCTCCCCTCCCTTATTTTCTTCCCCCCTACATTTTTTCTTCCCTCCCTTTCTCCCGCCCTCCCTTCTCCCTCAGTCCCTCCTTCCAGGGCTTCCTTCCTGCCTTCCTTGACACTTTGTTTATTTGCTGACATTTTGTTTATTTGCTGGTGAAAGGAAGTGAATTAAGGCTTCCTGTGTAAGGCAAGTGCTTATGTCTGAAGGACACCCTCCACCACAGTGGTCATCATTTGAACTTAGAGAAGGGAAAGAAAAGGAAAGAAAAGGAAAGAAAAGAAAAGAAAAGAAAAGAAAAGAAAAGGAAAGGAAAGGAAAGGAAAGAAAAACAAGCAAGAAATGTACCTTCTAAATTTCAAAGAGGTATCAGAAAAAAGAAAAAGTAATAGATAATGTAAGTTTGTGGAAAGCAAGAAATATAACTGTATCATGAGGTCTTTGAAGAGAAGTGGGGTGTAGAGATAAAACATAAGGAGTGGGGTGTAGAGATAAAACATAATAAAGGGAAATAGATTATTATTAACTTTAAGGAACAGTTTTGGGCAGGGGATGGAAGCAAGTAGAAATTTGGGAAAGTAAAAATTGGAAAAGTAGTAGGCAGCAAATATATAAAAAGTATCCATAGCTCATTTGGGTGCCAAAGAGAGTGAAAAACAATGGCTGTTGTAAAGGGCAAAGATCACAAAAACTTCATTGTTGATAGAAAAAGATAAAAGTGTCTAAAAATGAAGAAACAAATTGAGGAAAAGGGTTAGTGGAGACAGTGAGCAAATATGGAATTACAATTGCCCAGGAGTGAAAAAGAGATGAAATCAAGACAAATTATGGGATTAAATGAATTAAAAATTCAGAGCATACTTTGAAAACAAAAATAGCTCTTTGTGTCTGTGATTCTTGCCTGTCATGGTGACGAAGATGGTAGTGGTATAGGTCTCTACTTTCTCAAGTTTCCGTCTCCGCCTTAAAGATCCTTCCAAGTTAAATCACAGTGTGTATATCTGAAACCTAATTATTTGGAGGCTGAATACAAATGTATGTTAATCACTGTGTTCCTTTGCTCATGTGCCTTTCTCAACCAAAATTAGGAGGTTGAAGATCTGGAAGACTTGTTCATCCTGATGGATAATGAGATTTTAGTGTTTCATGGCACTAAAATGGGCATAAGAGAAACACAGAGAGTAATGGTTTCTCTGGGAAATGTGGAGTTGATCATATACCCTAATAGTATTGAACTTTGCTTTAGTTTTAACAAAATAATTGGCTTTCAGTATCACTGAATCATAGAATTTGATCAGGTATTGCTTATATTTACTGCCTGGACAATCAAAGTAAGTACTTTTTTTGCTACGCATATAATGCAAATTATTATCATGTCATGTGCATTAAAGAAAATAAAGGTTATTGCTAGAATAATGACCACTTTAAAAATCATTTTCATTGAAGTACTGATATTTACAGCATGTTCTGTCTTATTACTTTATATTTGCAATGCAACTTCATCAGAGTTTCAGTAACCACTGCCCCAAGATCCCTTCTACCCCCGCACTTTAGAACCTCACTTATCTGTTCTATTGGTGGTTTCTGGGGGTTCCTTATATTGGACACATTCATGTGTATAATTTCTTCTACTAAAACTCGACCCTCTATTTTCCTTTCCTCTCTTTCTGGGACTCTATAATTTATATATTGTTTCTCCTAAGACTGTCCCATTATTTCTAACATTTTATTCATTGATTTTAATTCTGATTTTCCTTCTCCTATTCTTTTTGAATAGCTTCTTATTTCTTGAACACACTGATTTGATGCTGTTGTGGAGAATCCACTGCTAATTCCTTTTATTTTATTTTTGGTTTTTGTTGTTGCTGTTGTTGGGCCACACCTGACCATTCAGAGCTTCTGGCTCTGTGCTCAAGGATCACTACTGGTGGGGTTTGGGAGACCCAATATGACATCTAGGATCAAACCCAGGTCTACTGTGTGCAGAGCATCTTATTCTCTGTACTATCTGGCCTATTGTGTTGTTTTATTCTTTTAGCCTCATTAGTTTGGAGACTTCTAATTGAAGCTTTCTCATACTTTCTTGTTCGTTATCAGGGCTCTCTTTTTTGTTGATTTTTTCAATTCAGTAGACAACTTTACCATTGTCACTCTGAATTGCTTATCAGAGAGTTGAGATCTCTTGTGTATTTGGGGACATTTAACAATACAGGTTACTTTTCACTTCTTCATTGACTCTTTACTATGTGGATAATAGTGATAAGGGTCTAGTTTTGTTTTGTTTGTTTGATTTTGGGCTTGGGGACATACCAAACAATACTCAGGGATTACTCCTGGCTCATTGCTCAGGAGTCACCTCTGTAAGTGCTCAGTGGACCATATCTTGTGCTGGGGTCAACTCTGAGCAAGGCAAGTGTCCTAACTCTTGTACTATCTCTCCATCTGTGAGGGTGTAGTTTATGCC